CCCCTTTAAAAATGAAATTTTTAACATGAAAACAGCCATAAAATTATTTTTTTAAAAAAAAAACTTTCACAATAGTGATTGTAAGACGATTGGAAAATTCTTTTCGTTATTTTCCCCCCCCCCCTTATTATTATTATTATTTACATACAACAAAATGGCGATTAAAATGTCATTACAAATTTTACTTTCGTTTTAACATCTCTTATTATTATTAATATTAAATTTAATTAATCGGTTATTAAAAAGGAAAATATTATTATTATTATTAATATAAATAGTTTTTTTTTTATTTTGACCTTTTATTATTATTATTCGGTTTAGAATGTTTTTATAATGTCGGTATTTGTTGTAAAAGGAAGAAAATTCAAAATGGAAAAAATAAAAATTAAAAAAAAAATTCTGACACGTTTACTGACTTGTTAAAAAAAAAAAAAAAAAAATTTATTACATTAATATTTAATTTTGACAAACTTGTTTTTAAAAAAAAAAAAAAAAAATGGCGCGAATATTATATAATAACGAAACAAAAAGTTTTTTTTCTTTTTTGCAGATTTTATATATAATTTTTTTTTACATTTACAAAATTAATTTTTGATTTAATTTTACAAAATTCAATCTACTGTAAATTTATTTTACCCAATCATTCATTACTTTCTCCTTTTTCTATTATTATTATTATCATTTCTCTATTTTAACCTTTTTTTTTGTTTCTCTTTCTTTCTCCTCTTTAAAAATTTTAAAAATGAATAATTTACAAATAATGACTGTCACTATTTTAAATAAAAATTTAAATTATCTTTTATTAATTAGAAAGGAAGTTGAGTAATAATTGGAAAGGGAAGCGCTTTCATTACCGCATACGGTGCAATTTTTAAAAAAAATTTGTTAAAATCGTAAATACGTTAAATTTTAAACGATATTCCATAATAATTCTCTTTTTAATAAATAAAGGAGTTAAAATTTGCGACAATAAACCTCTGTCGTACTTCCGGGGGGGTGAAATTAACAAAAAAACAATTGAACAACATAACCTTAACTCCATGTTTACATAGTTCGCTAGAATCAAAACAAAAAAAAGGCGGGAAAACGTTTTGTGAAAAACCGTGGCAGGAGAGGCATAGAAGAAATAAAATAGCGAGTGAAATTTAACTGTCGTTTTCTAATGGAAGCTTTTCGATTCAATCATTAGAAATGAGGTTTGAAACGTAAAAACGCCGACTCGAATACTTTTTTTAATAATAATACAGAATCCATAACAAAATTGTAAAAATAAATAAACGGATTTTAATTTGTTTCAGGTTGAAAAACAAAAAAAAAAAAAAAAGGAAAAACTTATAATTAATGTACTGAAGTATATTAACAATGAGGTAATTTAAAGAAGAAAACAAAAAACAAAACACAAAAATTAATTACAAGCAAATAAAACAATGGATTTATTCAAGATAATATTTTTCATTTTAGAAGGTAAGTAAAGCTTTTTTTTTTAAATTTAATATTAATAAATATTCAATCATTGAATCAATCATTCACAAATACTTTAATAGATAAATAATTTAAAAATCAATTCAATAACTGTCAATAATTTTAACAATGGGAAATGTTTTTCATTTTGTTAAGTTAATACCTTCCAGGCACAAGTACATAATAATGATAATAATAAGGAAGAAAAACATAATCAAAATTATTTAATAAATCAATAAATTATTATTGATTACTTATATTAGGAATATAATAAAACATTTTTTTGTTGAAAATTTTAAAAAAACAACAAAACAAAATTATTATTTTGTTCATTGGGTGTAAATTTTTAAGGGAAAGTTAAAGTGAAACTTTTTATTATTTTTTTTTCTGTTCAGTCTAATAAACCTAAAATAATCAATAATTAAAAAACTTTTTAAAATATAAAAATTAAGAACTAAAAAAAAATCAGTATGAAATTAAGAATAATAGAAAAAAAAAAAACAAAAAACCTTGTTAAAAGTTCATGTGCCATCTTAACGATAGCAAAAAAAAAAAATATATATATAAAAGAAATAAAAACTTCCTCATTCTTTTTTTGTTTTAAGTAAACAAGATTATTAAAAAAAATAAGTTGTTTTAATTTTTTTTTTCTTTATAAGCAACGTCATAATTTTTATTTAAGTATTCAACTTGTTTAAATAAATAATTTTTATGGTTAATAATTACCATGTTTTTTTTTTTTTAAATTCTGCGCATTGAAATTTTAACCGCCATTTTGATTACACGCGTTCGTTTTATCATTTTAAAAAATTATTTGAAAATTTCTACCCGAAATTTATTTTTATAAATTATCAATCAAAATCAGTTTCGATAGATAATTTTTCAAAAAATTAATATAAACGGAAATAAATAAATTTCAATATGGCGATATTTTTAATTGGATTAAAATTCGGAAGGGATAAAGGAAAAATATCATTTGGTGTGAAAAAAAAAAAAAAAATTTTTTTATTTATCTAAAATTTTAATATGAAATTTTAACAAAGACTAGTTTAACAGGTTCAACTCTCACTTTTTTTTTTTTTTGATGGGTAGTAGTAGATCTGATGGTTCAAGGAACTGTTAGCAGACCTTTGAATATTTTTATTATTTAATCAGCTTAATGCCAGTGTAGCAACGCTTAATTTTTTTTTTTTTTTAAATCATGATGCCCTACTTTGTATTTAATTTTTAACTCACGATACAATTTTAAATTGTATTACGTCACAATTTTCCGGATACATTTCGGCGAATCTTCCGAATTAACAATAAGAATCAAATTCAAACAAAGAGAGAGTATAATTATTCATCGAACGATATTTAACAGTTTTACTTTTTGTGTATTAACGTTCGTTACTTTTTGATAAATTTGGGTAAAATTTTTATGACGTCATAACTATTAAAAAAGAAAAAATTTATCCTAATACGCACTAATAGTAGTAGTAGTAGTGGAACATAAAATAACTTGTTAAAATAAACTACGCAGCCTTCACGAATGGCCTTCTTCTTTTTTTTATTTTTAACAATTTCTTTATTATATCACGAGATTTTTTTAAATCTATGAAACAGAAAATAAAATAAAACAAAACAAAAAAAAAATTTCATTCGTATTTAAAAAATAACGCTTCGTGATCGAAGAGTACGTTCAGAAATTTTTTTTTTTTTTTTTTTGTCGAAGAAAAGGTAAGTTGGCAAGAAAGGCGCGAATGACGTCATCGATACAATGTCGTTAAATGTGAGACACAGATAGAAATTTTACATATTTTTTTTATTAATTGTTGCGAATTTCAAATCAATCATGTAAGTTTTTCTCTCTCTCACTCTCTTTTTTTTAATAAAATAATTATTACACAATTATGTTTCGCTGTCAGGAAAATATTTTTCAAACATTATTTGTAAAATTTTGTTTATCTTAACGATAAAGCAATTAAAATCCAATAAAAGATTATTCGTGTGTGCGTTTGAATATTCGTAAATTGTGACATATTTAATGTGAGAAAACAAAATTAAATTTAGTTTTTTTTTTTTATTTATAAAAATGTTAAAAACATCAAAACGAAAACAATCACCCGATTGAAAAAAAAAAAAAAGAGAGAAAAAAAGAATTAGATAATGGAAAGGGTCAAATCGTGAATGTCAGACATGTTTTTTTAGATACGCAAGGATTGGCTTATAATCATTTTATTACAAAAGTTTATTTTATTAGCCTCAGGTATGCGAAAAAAGTTTTTATTGTTATCAATATCAATACTTTATCTTTTCATATTTTATTTTAAATAATTTTTTTCTACGGGGTATTTTATGTAATCCATTTTGTCGTTTATTTTTGGTAACATGATTTACTTTTTATTCTTTTATTAAAATACATAAACACGTCAGTTAAATTCTTTTCTACAACTTTTTTTATTTTTATATTACAAAATTCGTTACAGAAAAATTTGTTCTTATTTTTCAAGTGAAAATGTTTAAGGCACTCCTTTTTTATTATTTAAAGAAAAATTTTAAAAATAATTTCTACTTAAATAAAATTATCTAGCAATGATGATGGGTTCAATCATCCTTTTTCAGACATTTTTTTTTTTTTTTTTTTCGTGAACATGATGACATAAAAAAAAAAAAAACAAAACAAAATAAATTTTATTTATTAGTTTTCCCTTTTCACGATCACATATAAATTAAATAACTGATGATAAAATTTTAATAAAAAACTAATAAATTTTTACTCCCACGTTTATTATTTATATCTTTTAACAGTTCGTATAGGAATTTATATAAAATACAAACGTGAAAAATTTCCCCCTTTTTTTATATTACGAACAAAAAAAAAAAAAAAACATTCATTATTACCAAATGGAGGGAGGGGGGGGAAAGGGAAGGATAATATTTTCTATATTTACAATAGACGTAATAGTTTTCTCACGTGAAAATTTTTTTTTTTTTTTTAAATGTTCGCGAACTTCATATGCCCACTAGTTAATTAAATTCTTAAGCTCGTTTACTTTGCCCAAGATTTATAGCCCAATTTCCTTGAACTTTAATCTTTCGTGTGGTTTTTGCGGTATGTAGAAGAAGGACATGAAAAACTCAGACAAATAATCATTAACAACTCACGTGAATTTTTTTTATACTCGCCATCAATTTATAAGAGAACTGTTATTGAAAAAATATGCAAAAAAAAAAAATTACTTGTCTGTAATATATATGCATGCATATGTATATGTAAATGTGCAAAATAGTTTTAAAATCAATTTTATTAATTAATTAATTTTTTTTTTTTTAACGTTCGCATCGTTATTTATAAACGTGATGTATTTTTTAAATTTTTAGCCGTAATTTTGACTTCGTCAGAATATTCACCACAGGGTGGTCCAGTTTATATTAATCCAAATGCAGCTGCATCACAAATTCTTGTTAGTTCAACGGAAAGTAGTGACCCAAATGCTCGAATAACACAAACAGTTTATGGGTTTTTAGATTTCACTACAACCATTGGTAACACTGTTATGGTGTTTTCACCACAGAGTGCTGCTCCAGGTACATAATTTTATAAAAAGAAAAGAAAATCTTTTTTGTGCGGTCGTCGAATCAATTTAATTTTTTCCGTTTTAAATCTACAGCTTCTCCTGAGGTTAAAAAAGATAAAATTGAAAATACAATAATACAAACCTCTGCAACTTCAAAACCTGCGGAACCTATTAAACCCTCTAAAACCGTAAAAGTAACCGAAAAATCAAGCGATGGAAAAGAAAAAGAGAAAAAGAAACAAATTGTCAGTGAAGTGCATGTAGTAACCGAAGCCGTTAAACCGACTAAAGTTGTTGAATCGAAACCAGGTATTGTCAGGCACGAGACAATAACGATGAACACGTAATAATGAAAAAGCTATAATTAACATAAACATTAAATTGTTTTAGAAACGCTTATATTATCCAGCAAAGTTGAAATTAAAGAAGGAACTCCCGTTAAAGTGAAAAAAAGTTCAAAGCAAGCTTTTGTAAAAGTCGAAGTTAGAGATGAAAACAACAAAATTATCTCCAGCCAAGTGGAAGTTAAATCTGGATCGACTAAAATCGCACCCAGCAAAACAGAGTCGAAAGAAAAAATAAAACCAACTGTAAGCGTGATATCAAGTGTTGTTCAAATAAAAAGTAACGACGACAAAAAAGAAGAAGTCGTGGAAGCAGTTGAAGTAGATAATAATAATATTGATAAACCTGAATATGATTTTCTGCATAGGCAACCGTCCGAAGTCGTTGACGAAACGTATAAGGTTGTATAAATGAATTTATATATAAATTTTATTTAAAAATTTTTTCCAAAGAAACGCAATCATCATTATTTACGTTTTTTACTTTTTAGGTGATTGACTTAAAGCCAAATAATAAACACGGTTCAAAATCTAAGTCAAGAAATCACGATCATTCACATAAAGAATCTAAAAAAGATAGACACTCAACTGGATTGGTTACGAAATTTGGTGGTACAATTGTTAAAGAAGGAGTTACTACGGTGCACGAAACTCAAGTACTCGGTACTTATATTTCTGGAAAATATGCTCAGGTGATTAAACAATTTAAAAATGAATATAAAAAAAAAATTGTTTACATATATGAAAACTACGTTTTTTTTTTTTTTCAGGTACTTCAAAGTACTTCTAGAATTGTTGGCAAACCTAAAATAGCACCGACTCAGACAACAAAAATTTTAAAAACAGCTGCCCCGAATTTATCGAAAAATAAAGTACACTTGGAACCAACTCCAGCAGGATCTTTACACGAAGAAACTGCTTTGCCTTTGGAAGCATTATTCCACGGAGACAAAAGTAATAATTTAATTCGTCCATCTCGAAGACCAGGTACTTTTAATTTAACCAATGAAATAAAAAACCTTAAAGGCTATAAATTGTTTTAAAATAACCAAAAATTTTTTTTTAGGTCCAGCTGTCGGAGCTCCTGTTAACAAATCCGATTTTAAAAATAAATTTCGATCCCGATCTTCAGCCAAAGAACAAGATTTAAATGAAGATTACGATAGAGAAGAACAAGAAAGTCAAAATTTTCATAATCATAAAAAGTCACGCAGCAGATCGTCATCATCATCATCATCATCGCCATCATCAACTGTCAAATCAACTGCCAGGTATTTTTCATTTAATATTATAATTTTAATATGGAGACAAAAATGAGATATTTACCAATAGTACCAATTTCAGGTTTAACGGAAATAACCGTTTTGCAAAAAGTAACCCAGATTTACAGGTGACAACTGTTTCTGTCTATAGTGAAGAAGCTACCGTATCTCCAAATGGTAGAAAATATCAAAATACTAATAGGAGATCAGGTTCGGCTTATCGTAAGAATAAAGAATATGGTGCACACGAAAAAGAGAAAGAAAAAGAGAGAGAAAAAGAAAAAGAAAAAGAAAGAGAAAAAGATGATAACTTTTCCAGAAGAAGTTTTAAACCCAAAGTTCAGGTATACTTTCTTATTACTTCAAAACCGGGAAATTTTCGATAATCGGGATACTTATTTTGACGTAAAATTTCTAGAGTTCACCCGTGGACAATAATTCAGGAACTAGTTTGTATAAATTTAAACTTCAAAGGCCATCAGGTAGGTGGTCGTACAAAACTACTCCCAAGCCTAGAGTAACGATTCGGAAGCAGGATACGGATCAAAATGAAATTTCAAATCCTTTGACCACTCCCCAACCTCAATATTTAATACAAGAAAATGAGGAAATTGTTGCGAATAGAAGGGAAGACCATGAGGATTATAATGACGCATATAAAACCGTTAAACCGGAAGTTTCCGTAACCGCATCCACATTAAAAGTTCAAATATCTACGCCGGCTGATTTTAGCGATGTCTATTATGAAATCGCCACAATAAAATCCCCTTATACCTTTCAGGTATCTATTATTATTATTATTATTTTGGTTTGGCTAATTTTTAAATAAGCTGATTTATAATTAATGTTAATTAAATTTTAGGTTGGAACTGTTAAAAACACTCGTTTCATAACTGTGACGTCTACTTTGGAAAAAACTTTACAGCCAGTTGAATCAACACTTCCGGTTTTGCCAAATAAAATAACCGAACCATTGACTGAAAATATTTTAGCCACAACTCCGGTAGGAAAACAAAAACCTGACCGTATCGATTATTTAAAAAAAAAAAATTGAATATTCTTAATCTTATAAAATTGTTTTTAGGCTTTTGATAAAGATAATAATCTCGATTCGAGCATCGCAACACTCCCAGCCATTGCTCTTGGTTCGGATGCTGAAACGCCTCCATTGGAAACCATAACTGAAGCTTTCAGTACCACTCAAATGTTATTAAAAACTCATATACTACCTGTTATCAGGGGAGGAAATGAAACGACTACCTACACTTTGGTGCAATCATATCACGTAACTCGGCTAGTCACTGCAACTAAAACGTTACCTCCAATGGAAGTTTATCAGTTCGTACCTAGTAAGACATTAAACGAATTTAACACCAGGTTAGAAGAAGCTGGTTCGGAGCTTCACTTAGAACTTGATTTTGGTGACAACGATAATGAAGACGATGATGAACATCCTTCAGGTAAATCATATTAAAACAATACTCAACTTCTTACGAATAATGCATGTACACGTAATCATCTTTTCTCTTTTTAGCTATTCGAGCTTTCCCTCCAGATCTTGACCTAGCAAATATCGGTAACGATTTCGATATATCATCGGTGGACAACAGCAAAATTTCCGAAGCTTTACGTCAAGCAAAACTTATAAAAGCAAATCAAAAAATGACAACGACAGAAAAACCACAAACGACGACGCCGGGTCTTTCTCCGGAACAACTTCAACAGTTGGCATTATTGCGTTTCTTAAATCCGGCAGCAAACATTCCTCAATTTATAACCTCATCCAAACCCGTCGTAAAATTAGAAACGGTTTACGAATCTCACTTGATACCATTATTTAACGGTGTGAGTACCAGTTACAGCACGATATCTCGTCCTATTGCAACCGTCAGCAAAACGGAATACGAAGTAGTGACGAGTACTATAGGAAATCCATTACCTCAAGTACCAGTTAATCCATTAAATCCCTTCCAATCGGTTAATCCTCTATTTCCACCCCCTCCACAATTTTCAGTTACATCAACCCCTATTTATACGAGCACGATGGTAACTGCTACCGAAAGCAAAGTCCTCAAGTTAACTTTTGGTGCAAAAACGGCATATACGACTCTTTATTCAACGAGGGTTGTTCCAACAGTATTAACAACATATTTAACGACAAACGTTCCTGTGGTACCAACAGCTTTTCCTGCCTTTTTCCCATCACCATTTGGTGGATTTCCCGGTTACGTAGGATAATTTTACTTTTAAAACAGAGTTATGAGAAAGAAAAACTTTAAAAGACTTTTTTTCAAAACGGTTGGAACCGTTATTGAAGTCTAATTTGTTGTTTTTATTATTTAAACAATTTTTGGAAAATTTTTTTTTCCCTTCCTCCAATCATTTTAAAATCATCTTTTTTTTTTCTTTTTTTTTTTTTAAACAATTAAAAGATGATATTGACTTTTATATATAAATAGAAGAAAGAAAAAAAAAAAAAGACCAAATGGTTACATATATAAATAAATTTAGCTTTATTTATTATAAATAATTAACGCGCTGTAAATTTAAATTAATTGTAAAACGATAATGATAATGATAGAATTAGTCATGCACATATACCTAATATACCTATACATAATATTATTATTATTATTTCAATTTCATAAAAAAAAAATAAGTAATGACGTAACGTCAATTTATAAATTTCAATATTGTTGTTATTCCGTCCGTTAATTAACGGTTTTTTTTTTGTAATTTAACGCTTCAAGCCAAATTATTATTATTATTATTATTATTACAATTTAAATCATTGTGCTCAAATAATACAATAAAAAATTAGAAAAAGTTACCAAATAGTTCATTTGGATAATAAATAAAAAAAAAATTAATTTGTTAATGAGGATGGAAATTCAAATTTGGATTATTTTCAATTTTTTTTTTTTTTTATTTAATTGAGAATATTCTGCGTTTGTTGGATTGTTGTTGTTGGTGGTTGTCGAAAGAAAATGTGTTTGTATTGTAAAAAGTATTTTTTTTGTTTTAAGCATGATTGAATAATTTTAAGAGTTTTTGCGAATTTAAAAAAAAAAAAAATTTAAAATTCGCATTTATTTTATATATGTATTTAGTTTTTGTTTTCCCCCCCCCTTTCCCTCTCCCCTCTCCCATCCCCCTCCCTCTCCCCCCGTGTAAAAAGTTTTATGTAAATGTGTTTTATTGTAATTAAATATTTCAATTTTTTTTTTTTAAATAAATAATTGTTAATCATTTTTTTATTATTGTTCAATTTAAATATCGTATTGTTGAATTGATCCATTATTATCAATGAGGGCCTTTATTTGGTCATCATCCACCACCTCCACTGGACCCCCAGAACGGAAATTCGGGGTACCTTCCGTTCCATTAAGGTTTCATCCCCTTACACGACCCACACCTTTTATGGGCTTGGGACGCATTAACATCCCTTCGAAAATAAAAGGGGAAAATGTGGAGGAAATTCCCGCTTAGGGTTGTTCCCCCCATGTTTAAGTGTCTTTTCCTCGGGCACTATTTAAGAATTCAATGAAATTTTGGTACAGAAAGTTCCAGAAGGAACCGTATAATAAGATATCAAAAGTTTCTGTCTGTACAAAGGTGTAAACATACTCAAAAACATGTTTAAACAATCCGTTGGTGGAAAATCCGCAATTACTTAGTTGCCAACCCGATACTTATGAAAAAAAAGGCTGGGAATTATTATTGTCGTTTAATTAATTAATTTTTTTTTTTTTTTGAAAGGAAATTATTAATATTTAAATAATAAATAACTTTTTTATTTTTTATTTTTAATAATATTAATTATATTCAATTAAATAAATGAATACATATTACGATTGGTCGCCATAATTAAAATTTTTTTCTTTTAAATTTTTCCTTTTTCTTCTTTTTAATTTCTCCATTTTTTTCCGTCGTTTCTAAATGTCTTTTCTTTTCTCCGCTGTAATAACAACAAGATTTTATTTTAATTTTAAATTTTCTTTAATAAAAAAAACAAAAAATAATGATGAATAATTATACCTTTTGACTGATACTATTGATTTATTATTCGACGATAATGCTTTACTCCATTCTTCTTCCGAACCTTTTATTGCGTATTGTGTTAAATTTTCATTTTTTAATTTTTCCAATTCTTGTTTTTGTTCTTCTTTAAGTTTCTAAAACATTTTTTTGCGAATTATCGGGTTAGTTAAACGAATTTTTTCATGTATAATAAAAATCATTCAAAGGGTACTCAAAATATCAAATATGTTAATAATTATATTTATTATATTTATCTTTTTTCGTTACAAAATGTATTCGACGTGAATAATTACTACAAAATCTTCTTTTTTGGGGGGAGAGGGGGGTAAAGAATTAGATAAATATTATACTTATTAACACGACAAAGTTGGCAATACCTTGGCTGCTTTTTCCAAATCCTCTTCGACCGTTTCCAAAGTTGGCATCATGGTAACAACTTGTTTTTGTTTTTTAATCTCTATGCTTCCTTCTAATATCGAATTTAAAAATTCTACCGATTTTCGAATTATTTTATTAAATATTCCTAATATTTGTGAAGAATTTAAATTTAATTCCGCGGCTATTTCGTCGACGGTTTTCCGTTGAAGTCCGACACCCAATAAAATCGTCTGCAATAAAAAATAAACCGTTATAAGAAAAATCCACGTGTAACTCTTTCGAATGTGTGTGGGTGTGCGTGTGCGCGTACCGATTGCACGGCGGATAAACTCGTATCCTTCATCAAATTTAAAAAATAAAATTTTCCTAATGTCGGTACCAAATCCATAATCAAATGATAATCCACGAGATTATTCGAATACATTTCAAGCCTTTTTATATCGTAGCTCGTCATTTCGAAATCTAATTCATCTTTCGTTAATTCTAAAGGTAACAAACAACAAAAAGGATTTTTATTATTATTATTATTTTTTTTTTTTATCACAAAGAAATATTTGACAGTTTTTCACATTTGTACCCTTTGTTGAATAATCCGAATCCAATGATTTTTTCCGATGTAAAACGCTTAATCCGAGTGCGGATGGAAAAGTTCTAAATGAAGAACTCAACAAAGAAATAAATCTTCTTTTGAAATCTTTCGAAAAGTGTATGAGCCAATCTTTTTCATTATCCTCATCTTTTTTTATAGATTTTAAAAGAATGCAAGAATTTTCCCCCGTTAAATCATTCTTCGTTTGCCTTATATAAACAGGCATGAAATCAGCTTTTTTCCAAAATTTCAACAGTTCTTGAGTTAAACCAAATGATACTCCTATGTAATCCAATTGTTCTGCAGGTCTTTCGCTAAGCTTCATGAGCAAAGGAGGTAGAGACGAACGAGGAACTAAAAAAATTTTCTTTTTTTCAGGGTTTTTTATCGGTTAAAAAACAAAAAAAATTAACAGGGACTTTTAAAATTTCTCACCAATTTGTTCTTCTAAAAGTCCCAACGATTCGTCTTGAACGCTTGCAATGTTTTCTTCGACGGGAGCATCGTCCAAATAAGAAATTTTATTCGAATAATAATCCTCGAGTAATGCCAAAGCTCTCGAACCGTATCCCATACCCTAAAATATAATAAATGAAAGGACGATTCATATTTTGAAAAGGTTGTCGGTATTTTATTTAAATGTATATAATTAACCTGATAATCGGGATGTGTTGCTATCCTGACGATTCGGGCACCCGAAAGCATTGGAAAATTTTCATCTTGAAATTGTTGAGCAATTGTCCAGGGTATTAAATCTCCGGCTGCTTTTTTTCCTCTCGTCAACGCATTCGACACCGAACGTTGAGGTATGCTTCCTTCTAAGCAAACCTTTAATTAATTATGAAAATAATAAATTGTCACTGCGATTTGCATAAATCAAATAACTCTAGAAACTTGAATTTTTTTTTATCCACACCTGAATAATAACGATAATTTCCGGAAGGGAAGTTGTATTGCCGTTAATCGGTCCTAATAAACAAAAAAGATGATGAGCGGGAGCATCTGACATCATTTGAAGATCGTTTGGTGAATTTTTATAATGCGATGCCACGCACAAAGCCACTAATCTTTGTAAAAATGCTTCGGAAGCTGTGTGATAGCAAAACAGCGTGTCTCTGAAAAATTAACATAATCGCAAGATATTTAAAAACTTAAAAGTCTTCGTCAATATGTCTTTAGGAAATAGGATTTATTTCATTTACCTATTTATGTAATACAAATCGCAATTTTCAGGAGTTGGATACCCGCTAAGTATCGGTTGAATAGACGTGGCGTCCAAACAAAGTAAATCCGATAACCATTTTTCAATTACGTCACCAGGTCGATAACGAATGGATTCGTTTAACGTTATTTCATGGAGGATTCGTCCGGAAGCAGAATTTTTCGATGTGGCAGATTGAGTGCTGTTTTTTGCGGTAACTCCGGGAGGAGCAGCTTGATTTCTAAGCTGTTGAAGCAATTTTAGAGACAATGATCTACCAGTCCCTTCGTAACTATGAAATAAATTTTCGATATGAATATTTTTCCGACAGAACATAAATGACTGTTTAATGTATGGAAACATGAAGAAATTTACCCATTAATAGTGGATGACAGAAAAACAAGGTATGAGCCCAACATTGATTTGATTAATGTTAACGGTATGGCAGCTGCTTCATCAATGACGAGTAATTCTGCATGACTTAATTTGTGACCATCGCAAGGATGAATATATTGAATAGTTTGCCTATGAGTTCTAAATACATTCACTCTAACAATTGCTTTATTAAAATCAGGATTCGTTGACTGAATTAAATCATAATCTAAATGTTCTTGATAATTTAATGCATCAAATCCTATTAAGAAATAAAAAAAAAATTTGTACATCAGATGAAATAGTAAAACAATAAATTATTATTATTAGTTTTCAATATAAACCTTACCGATAAATACAAACTCAAAAAATGTTTTTAAATTTTCCGGAGAAGGACTTGATACAAAAATGTTAGAATAATCGAATGCTATAGCAGCAGCGACAGCAAGTCCCAGAGCAGCAGATTTTCCTCTGCCCCTAGAAGCTGTCAATGAAACTGTAGACCTTAAAGTTTTTTCCGAAATTGCTTCAATAAATTTTAATAATGCTTTACCCTAAAAAATAATATACTACTATATGACAAATAATAAAATGAATGAATACAGGTAATTTAAAGCTTATTTTCAAATATTAACACTTACCTGATCAAGGGTTTTACAACAATTCAACAAAGCACTCACTGGCTGAGTTTCACTCAAACTCGCTTTTAAATCTATTAAATTTTGATCATTTTCAGCGACATCTCCTTTGCTTACAGCACTGATATTTAATGTCTGAGAAGATATAGGTAAAACTGTCAATTGATCATCAACTACTAAACACCTGCTACAATTTCCTAGAGATAACAAAAACCTGCAAACAATAAAATAATATTGATAATTTTCTAATTTTAATACATGTCTTTTACCTTCAAATTTTAACTTTACCTTTCATTAAATCTACAAACTACATCAGTATGAACTTCAGTTCTATATCTTTCATGAATATCCATGGACATTGTGTAAAGTTGTTTTAACGAAGTTAAGGAACGTAGAAGAATTACAATAATACCTCCACCTTCAACTGTTTCAATCGTTCTAGCTAAAAGATTGGGTGTTAATGCTTCAAAATCCTATGTCAAAAATCATATTAAAAGCATGTATAATTGATAGATATTATTAACGATAATTTTGCTATAAGTAAAATTATATTACTTGTAAAATGCACATTCCATATGTTTGTCCCAAAATTTTATGAGTTTCTGAATAATAACAATATCGTATGGTTGTTGATGCTACAAATAACTCAAAAGGATCATCTTCATTAACGTTTAGTTTTCCAGACTTAATCTTTTGCTGCAATGCTTTCATTCTCTTTTTCCTATGACTACTAAAACCCAATTCTTTCTTATAGCACCATAAAACAGAAGGACGAGTTTTTACAGTTGACTTGGAGAGCATATGATGTAAGATAACTACCTGATTTAATTTAAAAAAAGAAACTTTTATTAAATTATTTGTAAAAAATGTTTTATCTCAACTAAGTTACTGGCAATACTTGATCTCTTCCTTTGTCACCAACAACGACAAACATAGTTCTGTGCCCTTCCGTGACTCCATTTTCTATAATAGTTCTGATACGATTATCTATTTTTCGTCTAACCATTTTTTATTTTTTTATATTCAGCGGTAATAATTATTAAATACTCGCTGAATTTCGTAAACGTGCTATTATAAACATAAATAAGGTTGGTAACAATTTTGAAACCTAGTGCTGAAACTAAGTTTTTTTCTTGTGTTGGTAGTATTATGTGTCTTGTCACCAATTAAGTTTTAATCTTATTTATTTATTTATTTACTTTTTTTAAGGAAGAAACAAGTCAGTTGGTTTTAGGATGATTTCTCTTTTATATATTGTTAAAAAAAATTGTTTTGCAGTCATAAAGTAAAGCCATTACTTTTTAGAATCCTGTAGTATATAAAAAAATTATTACTTGTCGCATATGGAGAATTTTGTAACGGATAAAAGTAATGAAAAGCAACAGATAAGGGTGTTCACTTTAAATTGTTGGTAATAAAAGAAATCATTTAAGGATTTTCAGTTTTATTTGTATCATTCATTACTTAAGTTATTGAAGTATAATTTATCATATGTACTTATGTTTATTAGAATTATAAAAAACAATTAATTTGAAAATCAATTACAATTTACTTTTTGATAAAGTTATTTACAAAAAATAAAAATATAATATAGCATTCTAAATGTGTATTTTAATTTTTAAGGCATTTTATCTTTAAATCAAATTAACATATAGTAAAATTATTTTTCAGGGGACTTCCATGTTTTTCAAAAAATAAAAAATGTCGTATCACAGCTATTGCAGAGTATTTGTCATCAAGTGATTTAGATATAGTATGCTTACAAGAAATCTGGTCTAAAAAAGATTATTTATACATCAGTAAAAAGTGTTTTCTACAACTTCCTTATTCACATTACTTTAATAGGTGATTTTTATTATTATAATTTTTAGTTATACCTTTCTAAAATTAACTTTGATTAATTGATTGAAATTTTTTTTTTTTTATAGCTTCATCATTGGCTCTGGTTTATGCATTTTTTCTAAACATCCAATATCTGATGTTTACTTTCATCAATGGCCAATCAATGGATATGCTCATAAAATTCATCAAGGGGACTGGCTGGCTGGTAAAGGGGTTGCTTTTGCAAGAATTAAAATAAAAGATTTGGTTGTTAATGTTTATAATGCTCATGTAAGTGTAATAAATTTTCATTTAAATCATTATTTTAAGTTTATATACATCATTTACTAATCTGATATGATTTCACTAATTCAATTCTTAATCATCAATCAATGTAAATTTTGTAAACCTCATGGTTTAAATGCTTATTTACCAATTAGATTAATTATTAGTTTATTTTTCCATTTTGAATACATTTTATTATGAAATTTTATTTCAAAATTTTTTTTTCTCCCAAATTTCAGCTTCATGCAGAATATAACATTCATGGCACTGAATATTTAAGTCACAGAGTTTTACAAGCATTTGATACTTCTCAGTTTATCAGATTGACCATTGAAGATTGTGATTTGGCTGTATTGGCCGGAGATCTGAATACAGAGCCTGATGATTTAGCAATAAAAATTTTAAATCAAAATGCTCAATTAACAGATTGCTATTTTGTTGCTCAAAAGGTTGAGTATTCTAATGTAACATAACTTTTACTAAAACTAATTTACTATGAAGAATTATCGATTTCAAATTTTATTGTTTTTATTAGAAGACTCTAACTTTTTTTGGGACCAATGAAAGTACTAGAAATAGCTATGCTCCAAAATCAGAAGTTAAACGTTTACCACAAGGAAAAAGAATTGATTACATTTTGTACAGGAATTCTCGGAAAATAAATGTAAGAAATATATGTGGCCCGAAAAATTTAGTAAAACTGTGTACCATTTTAATTAATTTGATTTTTATGTTGTAAACTTAAAGGTTGAAGTCCAAAATTACCAATTTCCATTACCAGAAAAAGTTCCTGGTTGCACTCATAGTTATTCCGATCATGAAGGAGTTGAGGTTTTATTACAGTATGGGTTTGATTCTGCACTTAAAGGTAAATTATAGAGAATTCGAAAAAAAAAATTTTGTTTTTTATTTAAATTATTTAAAATTACTTGTTTTTTATTATTTTTCACAGGTAGAGGGCCTGAGGGTAATTCTTATGAACTTCAATTAACATTAGAAACTGCAATTGATGTATGTAATGATGCATTGCATAAACTTCGAGTTGCTCAGAAAACATATTTAACACTATCAATATTATTTGGGGTTTTAATTATTGTATCATGGTTTGCTGAATTATTTTTTTACATTCCATTAGATATAGGAGGTTACCAAGTGGCTTCCACTGTTTGTTTTAATATTATTAAAGATTTATTAACAATAGCCTTTATTTTTTTTATAATAATGGGTACTCTTTGGAACAAAAGTGAAAAATCTGCAATTTTAACAGGAAAATTTTCAATGATGACAATATTAAAACGATTAAAAAGCCAATGATTTAATGAAACTTAAAACAAATTTAAAAAATTTTTTTTATAGAAAAGCAATAAATATTATATTTTATATAAAACTTACACGTTGGGATATAGTATAATTTTTTTTTTTTTTTTTTTTTTTGTTAAATAAATGAAATATATATAAATTCACAAAAATTAAGGTTTAACAATAATATTATACACTGTATGGGCTTTAAAAAAAAAAAAAATTAGTTTATATAAAAAAAAATATATATATATTTTATCGTTATTGTTATAAATTTTGTAATCATTTTTTAATCATATTAAAACTTATATTTTAATATTATTAAAAGAATTATTTTTTTACTTTTCCCTCCTTTTTATTACAATAAGAAATATCAAATTTTTCAAATGCGCATGTGTTTCCGGAAAAGTACGAAGTTGTCCGAAGTTATTACTTAAGTGCATAAGTCGTATTGCCCTGGAAGAAGTTAAAAATTGTTTGTTCCAGGTTTATTAAAATTAATAAGAATATGCTTTGTTTTGATAAAAATTTAATTTCAAGGTGTTACCGCTTTAAACTATTTAAAAATGTTTTTATTTCGAATTGTATATTTTAATGATACTTAAAAAGTAACACTTTAACTCTTATTTTCTAATTTAATGTCCGAAGAAAATGTAATCGATATTCTCAAAAAGTGCGGTTTGCTGTGGTGATGTTTATTAACTTTCTTCGATTAGAAAAAAAAAAGAAATTTTTTTTTTTTTTTTCGGCATTTATTGTTTTCTACTTATAATGTCATTTGCTTAAAACTTATAAAAATGATTAAAAGTTCTTCTCATGTTTAAAATTTATATAATAAATGAACAAAATGTGGATTTTTATTGTGCTTCGTAGAATGACTTATTTATCTATTTTTAAACAATTTGACTTTTAATAGTAAATGTCATTTATAAATTTGTATCTTTTAAGTAAGTGTCAATTGATTTTTTTATTTTTTCAGTTTTTTTTTATACTTTGGCAAAAATAACTTAAAAAATATATTTCATTTTTCAAATTTTTTATTGTCCTTCCTTATAACATGCTGTAAAGTTTTGAAATAAAGTTACTTATATATGTTGTGATAACATAGTTTCCATTTATAAATTACAGGTTTATGATTTCTAGTGATATAAAATGGCAGTAAATACAAATCACTGTCTTCTTTTGGCTGTTGTATGTATTGTTTGTTATTACAATAGCCTTCAATGCGGGTTTGTCTTCGATGACATTAGTGCAATTAAGGACAATCGAGATTTGAGACCACACACTCCTATTAAAAATATATTTTTTAATGATTTTTGGGGCACTCCAATGGAAAAGGTAAGATTTGTTTATTTGTTGAAAATTCATGGCTTATTATTGTATTACTCCTTTTTCAAACAAATTTTTATTGCATTTATTCTATACTTTTAGGAACAAAGTCACAAGTCATATAGGCCTTTATGCGTACTTACTTTTCGTTGGAATTATTTTATTCATCAATTAGAGCCCTTTGGATACCACTTAGTAAACCTCATTTTACATTTAATTGTGTGTATTTTGTATTATAATATGTGTTCAATGTTCATGTCTAATATGGGAAGCTTTGTTTCATCAATGTTATTCGCAGTTCATCCCATTCATACGGAGGCAGTAAGAAAAATTTGTTTTCACATTGAGATTAAAATTTTTTTCATTGACATTTAAACTTACATGTATTTTTTTAACCAACTTTTCAGGTTACTGGTGTAGTAGGTAGAGCTGAAACATTATCCTCAGTATTTTTTCTTTCTTCTTTTATCTTTTACACGAGAGCAACAAAGCAGGGTCTCCACGTTGGTTGGAAGTCTCTTATTCTGTCAATGTGTTGTATGGCAACTGCTATGTTTTGCAAAGAACAAGGCATTACTATAGCTGGTGTTTGCTTTGTTTATGAAGTATTTGTGGCTCAAAAGGTAAATTTTCTCCCATGCTAAAAAAAAAAAAAAATAAATAAATAAGATTTTAGTTGTTAATGTAAATAATTAGAAAATTTAAACATATGTTTCGAGTAACATAAAAATTTTTTTCTTGTTTCGATAAAAAAAAAAAAAAAAAGTAATATTTAAAATGTCTTTTAGATAAGACTGACGTTTATTCAAAATGTAGCCAAAAATGTTTGGAATAAACCTGGTCACACAAATGTTTGGTCATCATCAGGGAGTAAAAGATTATGTGTATTATTAGCCACTACCATATGCCTTCTATTGACGCGCTTACAAATTATGGGATCTCGGCTTCCTGTATTTACTAGGTACGGTTCACATTGTACTCGAACGACATAACGTACCTTGATTCACATCAGTAAAACTTTTTAAATTTTTTTTAATTGAAATAATTATAGGTTTGACAATCCTGCATCAGTTTCGCCGACTCCAGTTCGTCAGTTAACATACAATTACCTTGTTTCACTAAATTTATGGCTTTTATTGTTTCCGTGCGATCTTTGTTGCGATTGGACCATGGGAACGGTGCCTCTTGTACAGTCATTTTTAGATCCACGTAATATAGCAACAATTTTTTCTTATTTAGTTTTGGGTATGCTAATTATTATAGCTCTATTGAGTGACGGCAAAGAGCGTTCAATTTTAATTATAATGGTAAAATATAATTTTCCAAATATTTTTATTTTCTTTTATTT